CGATCCAACTATCAATTGTTTAAATGCAGTGAATTGAATGCAGTTAGAATTCTATTTAATTTGACCAAATACAGTTCACTGCAGCCATGTGAGTCCTTTATTAAGCCACAGAGGACAGTTAGATCAGATCCTGTGTGCTGGTATTGTCCATAGAGCTTCTCTGTGCTGTATAGGGGAACATATGGAGGAGCCTCTGGACAATGGAACTCTTGTCATGCTGGCCTCAACAAAGAGGCCAAGACAGGCTCAGACAGGGGCCGACAACCATGGTGGGGTGAGTGTGAGTGTCAGTGTGTGTGTGTGTGAAAGAGAGAGAGAGAGAGAGAGAGAGAGACACACATTTTGTGTGTTTTTGTGTATGCTGTGGTTTTGAGATTGTGTGTGCATGTGACAAAGCAGACAGAAGTCTACAGTATATTGGACAGTATAATTACTTTATTAACTTTGCCAATAAGTTCAGCATTTTTATACTTATTCTAGGTTTGGCAGTTTAGTTTATGTTTTCATTTCAGTTCCAGGCCTTTCTTTCTTAAAGATTTGTGGTTGGGAAAAATGCATAACAGAGTACTGTGTTCCTGTTTTGTCGCGGCCTCTGTAAACCTGCTCCTCCCTCGTCTCCACCCAAACCACTGCTAACTGACACAGCAAGTGACCAGCCAAAGTTGAAGCAAACCTCCATCATGATAGGACATTTTTTTACAGACATTCCAGGACATCTCATCAAATGTGATCAGATGTCTAGGACAAGTTCCTTCCTATAACCTTTGATAAGGCTGGAGGTTTGGCTCAGCTGAAGTGTGTCAGTAACATGTTTTTACTCTCATCCACAGCTAAACCACCGTTTTCTCTCTACACAGTGATGCACATGGAAAGGAAAAAAGAGAGAGAACACTCTCATGCAAAAATGTGAAATTTAATGTGTTCCAAATGGGGGCTGACCAAACTGCAAATTGTGACTGTTACTGTGAGTTTAAAAAACTGGAGGTGAAAGTTTAAACAAAGGTTTTGTCATATTCTTTACCTTGTTTACTTCTCATTTTAAACTGTATTGTGTAAACTTTATTTACACAAAATTCCTCTACAGCTATTGTTTTAAGATTGTCTCAATAAAATTGAATGTGTGAAATGCATGCATGTGGGCTTTTTAGGCCTTTATTTGATAGTACAGGTGAAGATGGATAGGAAAGGAGCGAAAGATGACCACGTAAAGCAAATGGCTGCGGGTCAGAATCAAACCTAGGCTGCTACAGTAAGGACGCACTCTACCAGGTGAGCATCCCAGAAGAAACATCTTTTTATAGAAAAAGATGCTCTTCAAAGGAAGGTATTCAAATAACCCATATATATTTGTGATCAACCTGGTGTCTTGGCTGTCCACTGTGGCAGTGTCACATTTTACCGTGTTTTCAACAGATGCTCACAATAAAGCTTGCGGAGGTCGCAGTTTTGTTAGATGTAGGCATCAAGACTACTTGGTTAGGTTTAGGAAAAGATCCTAAGTTACGTACCTGACAAGTCAATGGTGAGTTTTTGGAACTCAAACATCGGCCTCCTCGGTGAGAGTCCTGTGTTTGTTTGAACCAATCCTCTCCTTTGTTGCTCTTTATGCTGCGCCTTCATACACTCGTGTACTTTTCATGTCTAGGAGAAGAACATGTCTGACACTGTATCGTAGGGGCTTGGCGGGTCTATTACATGCTTTGACATGAGACTGAACTGGGCTGACAATTAATTAAAATGTTTGAACAATACCCACTAATACTACTACTACTGTAGCACTGCCAATAAACAGTGTGTCACAAGCTTTCTGAATTGGGTGCAGTCACACTTTGTGGAAGACAGTTATTTGCATGACTATATTTTGGCTTATTAGTTTAGCCACGGTAATGACACCAATACACAGTCCATACTGTATTGAGCTTTCCAACTACAAAACACCCACACACACATCCTACAGCCACAGACAGTTACATTGGTTATGTAAGAACAGATTCAGTTGCTATGTCACTAGACCAGACCTCAACAACAGAGAGGGGGGGGGGGGGAATCGAAAAAAAAAAGAAGGAAAGGTACAAGAGGGTAGACAGTAAAAAAGGAAAGGGTTAGAAACAAGGAAAGAAAAGAGAGAGACATAACGACAGTCAGCCTGTTACCGAACCAACCGACCACAGGGGAGGAAACCACACTGGATTACAGTTATTTAACCCTGAGCACACACACACACACACTTGTAACAGTAACGTCAGTGAGGCGTTGTGATAAGAAATGTCTGTTATATGTTTTACAGTTTGCCTGTTTAAATTGAACTGTCACTCAGTTTTTGCGGCCACAAACAATCCAAACATCAAACCTGGTTCTTAAGCTCAATAAATATTTGCCCCAGATGCATTTTCTCTTCACCAATTACACTGTGTCAGGTACATTTGCAAACTCTGTTTATATGTGACAGGGGGCCTAAATGGAGGCAGGAAGGTTTCAAATTTTCATTTCATTCAAACTATCCCTCTTATCTCTCATACACACACACACACACACACACACACTGAGACCCACAGTGGTACTCTTTCACTGTATCTTTTCATTGTATTGTATTGTATTGTTATGACCAGCTAAGTCCCACAAACAGTAAACACTGCAATGTTAACACTTCCTCTGTTTAGCTCTTGGACTCCTTGATGGGCTCAACATCACAACAGCGTCTGGAACGTCCCTGCAGTGTCCATACAGAGACACAATGCACAACACAAACAACACATCGCCAGTATTGTTTGAAATGCACCACTGCTCCCACTGTAAAGAGCGTCAAATACACATCAACACGTGGCCACTGTGTGTCAGCGAGAGCTGAACCTAAACTGAGACCCTCTAGACAGGAAATCCCTCGTCGAAAATACACTACCTGGTTTATTTAGAATTATTTATTAGACTATCCATGCTTCTGTTACTACATCCCCACGGCTCCATGCTTTAAATATGTCCAAACCTTTTCAGTCTAAAACATAATGACTTTGACACATAACAGTTGCACCAATCATTTGCTATCTAACCAGACACATGTGAAGAGCACATCTAGGCTACACCGAGCTCTCCTGATCAGCTGATTGCATGTCTTCTTCTGTGGCTGCATAGCAGTCACAATGGACAGGTACGATCTTGCAAGCATGGCATGGGCATCTAGAAGGTTCCATTAACCGAGACAATGTTATCCAGAACGGTGTCATTTTACAGTGTTCTTCTGGTTGGATTTATCAATCATGTTTTTATGTATTTTAGTAGACAGTCCCATTGAGATCAACAATCTCCTTTACAAGAGGGACCTGGCCAAGGTAGCAGCCGTACAAAATCACAACATATTCAAATACAATGGCCTCTCAAGGAAAACAACCACATGTCTCCGTCACCACATTCTTTATAATGCATTATAAAGAATGTGGTGACAGAGAAATCCATCAGTGGATATAAGTGTGTCTAGTTTTAGATCTTTGTGCAGGTTATTCCATGCCCAGGGTACACAGTAAGAAAATGAATGAACCTGCCGTACATTAAAAAGCAACCATTTGGAGAAACGACCCAAGACCCAAGTTGAAAAAGCTGACATGTTCTAACCAACAACAATCTTTGCTTTGTCCCATGCTAATGTGAAAGGCATATTACTGGTGAGCAGTCAACAGTCCACCCTGTAAGCTTTGAACCCTCCTTACTGAGCTAAATTTGCATTTCAACACAACAAGCTTTGAATTGACATACCGCGGCAATGAAACATCACTGCCGAGGGAGGGAGTGGCTGGATCACCACGGACCCACGTCAGGACTTGTTCTTATCGCTCATAAATGTGAGGCCATGAATGTAAAATATAAACTGAGATAACAGTGACATTTGAATTCATTCAGAACCGTGAATGGTAAAAATACAGCAACAGAAGACTTGGTTAAATTGTTTTTGGAAGGTCTAGAGCTGCCTAGACAACTTGTGTCTGGTACATGTTGTCAGTTTCATAATAACAGGCATAATAGCAGCCCTTTGCCTAATCAGTTATTACTGGAATTTAGTTTTTCCAGAGCACTGGCATTGTCTTTATTTCAACCAATGGCTGAGAAATGTTCAAGACTCAGTTCACAAAACTGGGTGTGGTACATCCCAGACAGATCGCCAGTCCAACACATTCACGCTACATTTACACCTGTGGGCGTTTTGGAATCCGCTAAAATCCACCAAAAAACATAATTTCTTCTATGCAGTGGGTGTGAAAGCAAGTGTGTTCAAATATTCAAATATTGATTGTGTCCAATTAGAATACATTTGATTGCTTTTAAATGTTTGTGAATTCTTAAACTGTAAATTATAATTAATCCTGTTAAAGCAAGGAATCCAGCATTATTTTAACTGATTATTGAAGAAATTATATGGAGAAGACACCTATAATGGAGAAATTTCATAATTTTAAGCACATTGGGACTATTTATCAACTGTTGAATGCAGTGTAACTGAGAACATTTGGAAGAATAAACAATAGATGTTAAATAAGAGTGGTGAGAAAACATTTCAATACATGTTACATGTTAAATATACTTTAAAAAATAAATGTTTTTAACAACTTTACTGCATTTTAACCACACCCTAATGACAGTAAACGTGTTTGGTATTTGCAACACTTATCATTATCTCCTTAGCTGTATCGATCCTAAACAAAGTGAGGGGACAGCCTGTTAAAAAAAAGAAGAATGCATCTTTAAGGATTTGGTAATGAATGGGTAGAAAAGTCGCCTCATTCAGCTCCCTCCTCTTCTTTCTGTGCCCACCCTGCCCCCCAGCACACCATTACAATGCAAGACCCCCTCCCCCATCCACCCCCCTCAGCACACACACACACACACACACACACACATTAACACACACACACTCCCTGCCCTGCCCCCTGAGGAACACAGACAGGGGGTGGGTGTGTATGGGTGGGTTTCCCCAACTATTTAAGCAGATTCCAACAGATGGTCGAGGAACTTTCCTCCCAGGGTCACGTTGCTCTTTTTCTCAATTCCCTGTCTCCACCACAACGGACCTGACTACTTCTAATCTTTCTCCACCTCAAAAAGATCTCTTTCAACTCCTGGAACAAGCAGTTTTCCCCAACTATCTAAAAACATCCTTAAAGGGGCCAAACTGAAATTTCACGAAGACCAGACTTTGTCGGTCTCTCTTCCTTCTCCACGGACCTAGAAACTTTTTGTCCTCCCCAGCCGGCCTCCACGGTGGGATCAGACACCCAGCTCCTTCGCTCAGCGAGGACGGTGGAGAGAATCATGCCCTCTGACTTTCTAACGCCTTTCCTGGAACTGGATGAGGAGTTCTGCAAGGTGAGAGCAACCAATGATAAACTTTTATACGCATCTACTATCATGCCACATCCAACTGTCTCCTCTGTGATCTGCTCAAACTCTTGGAAGTCTAGGATAGGATGTCTCTCCATTAATGCAACACTAGAATGAAGTAACAATATTTTTTTATTTGGGGAAAGATGATGAAAAGTTACAAAACTAATGCCTAATTAACTAACAGATAACATTTTTTCTTTGGATGCATTTCAAATAATAGACACAGTCTTGTTAACCAATTTCAGTGTTTTGGTAAAAATAATGTTAAATTAGGTTTGTACATTTCCTTTTCACTGCAGCTTTTGGTTTTGGGCTCTTAAAGTGTTGTGCGCTTCAGAAGCAGCAGCAGAAAGTGGAAAAGTAGAGTTGTTTTGTTTTAATTATTTAAAACTAGTAGTATAGTATAGTAGGTCAAAGTACATTTTGATTTGATTTTGCTGAATAATAATTATATATGTGAGTTTCTTTCATAAAGTATTTTGCACATATAAAAGTATAATGGCTGAAACTATAACATGATAAATACTTATTCTAGTTAAAAAATTGGTCTTACTCCATGAAACCAAAAATCCACACATCTTACACTCAAAGGCTTAATTTAGTCAATTTTTAAGATAAAATATTGTCCAACTTGAGTAACTTTCTCAGGTCTAATTCATCAGCCCTGTTGCTTTAGCTGCAGCTTTAAAATCTCCTTTCAGCTCGACTTGGCCCTGCCAGTCTCGCTCCAGCGCTCCAGGAATGCAGAAAGCTCACAGCTATTCTCCTCTCTCCTTTTGTGTGACAGAATTTCCGCGGCCTGGAGGCGACAGATGGCTCGCCTACCACCACACAGCAGCAACGGCAGCAGCACAGTCTGAGGGTCCTGGGCTTCCAGCGTCGGCATTCTCTCTGCCCCGTGACCCTCCCCAACTCCAAGTTCAACGACAACAGCAGCAACAGCAGCAGCTCTGAGGTGACTGAGTCAGCCTGCTGGGGGCTCAACATGGCCCCCACCCCGCAATGGAGCAGGGAGGGTCAGCTTCCCCGCTCCTCGCTCAGCCACATCCCCTTCAGAGTCGACCGCTCGGTCAGCATGATCGAGGGCAACGTCAGCATCTTGGGAGGCAGAGAGGACAAAATGGCTAATGTGTCCCCGCCGCTGCTGCTCC